TTTTGTCTGTGATTGAATGTGATTTTTGAAAAGAGAAGTCTGAGCCGACCCAGCCGGGTCTRATAAGGCTGTTTGTGACAGTGGCAMAGCCATACCATGGTCCAATTCTGCATGAACCTCTCCATAATAACCTCCAGGGCAGATCTGATCTGTCTGGACTTCAGAGGTCTTGCACGTCGTGACACCTCACCTCATGAAACAAATGTCTCCAACTTTGGTGAGAATTGTACCTAATCAGGCATTACATGTAAGTGTTCACAGAACAACCCGGTTAAACAGCTGAGCCAACTTGATAAAACCCTTCTGACTTGCAGTAAGATAAAAGTTACTAAAAATAATCTGGCTAAGRTCTTAACACCTTTCTAATTTGGCAAAAACGAATAGGTTTTAACCTGGGTTTCTTGTCAATTAATAAAAGAAAAATATTTCCTTTGGGGAAAATATATTTTCATTCTATAAAGGTTTAAACATCCAGCTCTTGTCTTAACATCTATAACATCAAGTCTACAATSCTTTTCCCCTTTAACTGTTAAACCTTATTGCTTGTCTTGTTGTTATTTTTACTGTTTTATTCATGTGTTTTTGTCAGTATTTTTGCCTGAGATAAGAATTCCCTGCATATCATACGAACCTTACACTTTAGTAAATATGAGTCTAATTAAAAAGGGTGAATAAATATTGGTCAATAACTGATGTGGTGCCCTTATAGGTAAAAGTGAGGACAGAAATAGTTGTCACCCTTTTCTGTTTCTCTCCTAACAACATCTTTGCAAATATAACTCTCATAAAGTAAGTATATTTTAACATTATTTAATCAGGCAAGTCCTGTCGAGATCTCAGATCTCTTTTTCAATGGAGGCCTGGGCCTGAAGGCAACCTATTGGACGCGTTTTTAGGTGGTGGGGGAAACCGGAGTACTTGGAGAAAGCCCACGCAAGCACGAGGAGAACATGCAAACTCCACACAGAAAGACCCCAGGTCTGAACCGGGTATCGAACCCAGGACCTTCATGCTGTCAGGCACCCATGATGGGTGGCTGCAGAGCCCGTCCGGTGACATAGGATAAAAAAAATTATCACGTGGCCACGAGATAATAACGCGTGCCCACGCCTTAAAGAGATCCATGATTAGTTGTAACATTACACTTTATTTAATAAACATATATTTTAACTGTAAAATAAAGASTGTAAAAATACTGAAGGATGTTCAGTTTTTATTATTTTTAAACTAAAAATTTAAAAATATATTACACGGACAGGGCCATTTCATGTACACGCAAAGCATTCTGGGTAAATGACGACATGGATAGGACCTCAGTGTGAGCG